AACTATGTTTTATTCCTTCACGAGGCTGAACAGTAGGTTGGGCAGCTCGAGGGATCTGCCTGCACTTGCCATTGCCCACTCGAGGGGTCCAGGATTGATGATAACTCAAACGATGCTGCAGTGAAGAAATGTTTTTGGTCTTTTGTCCTGTGCACAGCACCAACCCTTTGCTGGAAGGGCTCACCACATTCAGTTGATGCATCCAAGGTACCTGCCTGAGGAACTGTTTCCATGTTGTGCATCATACCTTGAACCACTGTGCTCTTCCCCTAACGCAGATATTAGCACATTCGTCTTTTCTCTTGCTCTTTCTCTCCCGCCTCTTGTATTATGATACCAACAAAGTAGAATGATAAAAAAAGGATGGGAATCTGCTGGGAAACCCCGCTTCACTATTGGGCTTTGCTGTAACGCTTGGACCCTTCACAGAGGCCACACGATTGCTTCATTTCCCACTGCCATCTGTCACTTCTTTGCAGCAGACAGAGCTGGCACAAGCTGACATGTCACCACTGAACCAGTTGCCACACCTGTCATCAGTGCTGAATCAGCACATACAGCTTTCCAAGTGCCCCAGCAGTGGCTGGATTATTTCCATGCCAAGTTACTGTCATCGATAAATGAAATAACCCAACGGGGGAATTTTTTCCCTGTGAGATATTTCTGTAGGCAGAGGAAAGAGTTTAAGTATCAAGAGGGCAGTGAAAGGCATGTCTGTTTTCCACCCACGGGAGTTCTGTGTGGCACTCCTGAGCAAAGCACAGCAGCTCAGGAGCTGCTCTGTGAACTTTCAGCTGCAGCAGGTCCCAGAGAGGACTTCACTCAGTGAGGACCAGGCAGTGAGGAGACACCTCACAATTCAGAGTGTCCCCCAAACGAGCAAAGCCAGCAGGGGTTAAGGTGAGCTTCAGATGTGCTCATCCTTTGTGCAGAGCTGAACTGCGCCCTCTCAGTCTCTCCTTGCCCCACGAGTTGCATGTCTCAGTCATGAAGCAGCAAAAAGGAGAAAATACAGTTTTTTGGTTTCCCTCTTGTCTTATTTTCATTTTAAATGCCTACCGCAAAAGCTAGCTGAAGAGCTTAGGAGCAGCTGCATGATCAGAAATTATTTTTACCTCATTAAAAAAATGTATCCTTTTAAAATAAGAACAGCAAAATGGAGATTAGAGCTTCTGGTGCTTCGCCGGGTGTTGCTTAGTACCTGTGGGTCATTACCTTGATAAAAATATGTACAGACTCACTTTTCAGGTTTAAAAGTGTTTTGTCCTTTTGTTTGCTTAGCTAAATAAAGAGTTTTTGTTTGACCTGTGATTTTGAATCCAGCTGGCTTTTAAATATATGGTGACTCATACAAAACAGCCTGCAGAGTTGGTCTCGTTTCCACCGTTACTCCGCTGATTTTGGCAGAAGCCGCACAGAAAATGAAGTGGTGTGGGGGGCTTTTGGCCCAGCTCCCAACTAGGCCTTCCTCACCAGAGCTGTGCTCTTCCTCCTGTAATGGCTCTTGCCAAAATGAAGGAGCTAATCATAGAGAGAGGTGCTTCACACAAGCCAAATTGCCAGGATCTGGCCTTTCGAGGCACTGCAAATCCCATCAGATTTTCAAGTTTAGTAATAAACCATTAGTTTCTAATGAAAATTTGTGCTGAGGATGAGAACTTCCTGCCTCAACATGGTAATTTTTCATAACGAGATACTGTCATTATCTTGGCTGATGTGCAATAGAGCATCACTGGTTTTAGTGGGAGCAGGCTGGGAGCTCTTTAGACCAAGACTGACAATATTTTATTTAATTCAGAATAAGCCAAATAATTTTTAAGGGTGGTAAAGCAGGAAATCTCATTTCCATTCTCAGTAAAGGCTGCATATAACATATCATTACCAGAAGTTGGGCCTGATACTCGCACTTAACTCAGTGTGTGTTTTCTCCCCTCACAGACTGCACCATTGATGTGAGAACATAAAAACCTTTGAGCACACAGGCCTGCAAGAACCAGGAAAGATCCGTGCTCACCAGTGGTAAGGGAAATTTCTATTGCAGTTCTGCAGTCTCTGTGCAAGCAAAATTGCCTGTTGACTTCTGGAAATATGAGATCAGGTACAGTACATGGCTCTCCACTGGGGCTGTGTGGGGGTCACAGCGATGCGCTGCCCAGTGACTGGCAATGGAGGCTCCAGGAATTTTTATCTTCCACAAATCATTTCATGACCAAGGTAAAAGTGCTATCGTCTCACAACAGGAGAAATCTGTGGGTCCAGATACTGCAAATGTAACACCATTTTCTCAAATAAATGTCTGCTGTTTCGATAAAAAACTCAGCAAGTAAAATATAGGACTCATGCTATACACAGTTCCTGGACTTCCTGCATCAGGAATCACAGCTCTTCTTTTTCTAAAGTAAGATGTTATTTGAGGAGACAGGAGGTTATGTAGCCTGCTTTATGTTATTCTGCTCAGGTATCCCTGCAGATCAGAATTCACTTTGGAAATGAAAGGCCGTATTTTACTGCAAGTGGGTTGATGTCAATTCTATTCTCAGGGCTAACCAAAAAACAACAAAATACTGTCTCCTCTTTTGCCTTAGTCTTTCCCAGAAACTATGAGTCAGTAAAAGCTTTCTGAAAGTGGTATATAGAAAATCCCCCCACATTTATGTTGTCCCGACAAAATGAATGGCTAAGATCATTGTAACCCAAACTTGCTTCCTAGAAGAGGGGAAGAATGCTCAGGGAAATAAATACCTTAAAAGTGTCGCATTTTTAACAAGAGGGATTCAGCTTTATTTTGTAGATGCAGTAACTCATTGGGGAAAATGCTAAACTGAAAATGTGGTCAGATAGTAAAAAAATGAAATAAAGCAAATAACATGTTGGGCTAAAAATGGAAAAGTAACTCACTTAAGTCATTTTCACTCCTGTACTAAGTGGTTTATTACTGAAGTAGGATTCTATCCATCTAAGTTTTCTATATCTAATTTTTATACAGGTTGCCACTGCATCCCTGATCCCCAGTTCGTGACAGTCAATGGAGGGACGTGGTATCAGGGGTGATCTCCAGCAAACCTCCCTAACTTCCAGATCTAAAAGTGCACATAAGAAATATCTCCTAGGGGCTTTTAGAGCCAGTACTGCTCTTCAGATCCCGCACAGCACTCCCAGGAGCCTGCCAAGATCCTACTCAGCACCCCACACCTGGGTGCAGGTTCAGTGCCGAGGTGTGAGGACCTGCATCCCGGCAGAGAGCGCTGCCTGCAAGAAACGCTCAGTAAGGGAACTGATGGCAACCCTGCCCTGTGGATTTACTGCGGTCCACGCAGAAATGACAAAGATTTATGAGACTAGAGCCTCTCAGGTGGCAAGTTTTCCAGTTTTACCAGAAAGTATTGCCATATTTCAACAGTCCAAGGCACTCGCTGGTCTTTCCTCTCAGCAGTTACTACTGTGGGTGATGCAGCATCTGTGGCTGAGTCCATGTGGGTTACTAGCGCAGGGCCAGGATGCTCCAGCCAGCAGTTTGGCCCCTGGCTTTGCAGGGGAAAAGGGCTTAGGCACCCTCTGTACCGCCTGGCCACAGGGCTGGAGGGCAGGCCTTGCCCTCTTTTATTTGCTAGCTTAGATATAGTGTATGAGATGCGGGCTTAAAAGAAGAGGAAAAAATATCATCAATTACAGTGTCACATTTGTGATTATTAGAATTTAGAAAAATAATGGGGCTAGGAGAATCCAGAATTCAGTTTGGTTTTAGTCTTTTTGTTGTTGTTTTGTTTGTTTGTTTTAAATTAGATTTCTTTATATTATAAGTGAAATGATACTTGTCTTCTTAATACTCATACTCACATAAATGCAGCATTACTGATTCACTTCAAGCTGAGGCTTGTTGGATCCTTGTGGCCCCAGCTGCTCCAACAGGCAAATGCTTGATGCATTGCCCAGTCATAAACTGGACAGCACATCAGTCCACACTTTTTTGTACGGTACTTTGCACATAAAAGTAATCTGTTTCAGTCCTCAAATACAGATTGAAATGATAGTGATAAACTATAACATAATTAGGATGTAAATGTAGCATAACTATAAATATATAAGCAGCAACACTCCTGAAATCTGCCACGTGTATTATTGCTCTAAATAAAACAGTCACTGGTGAATTTGAACCTGAGTGAAGAAGTGTTTCCAAACTCTGAACGACACTGATGTCTGATGGGCTCTTTGAAGCCACTAAACCATGGGATTATCAGAAAACTGTATATTGCTCTGAGACAGGCAGACAGCAAAGATGCACTTAAGTGATTTTTCTACAGCATGCAGCCCCAGAAAAAGGAGAGGGAGAAACAATTCAGGTTCCCCTCAGAGCTGTGGATGATAAAGTCTTAGGAAAGAAGACTGTGACTTTTTCTCTTTTCCTTTTTTTCTCCTCCAGTGCTAGACTAAAAGAGGGAAGAGTCCAATTTAGAGTCAGATTTCCCCCCACAGTTTGATAACTTTCTAATGGAGCATTATCATAAAGGGCTAACTTATAACTAGAAGATGAAAGCTACTGGAAACCTGACGAATAACAGTAATTAGCAGCCTATCTGACTAGGCTTTTTGTTTCTTTGTTTGCTGGAGAATAAAAAGGAGCGTGTGCTCTTCATTCCTCTCTCTTTGCCAGACTAAAGAAGAGAACAAACAAACAAGCAAGCAGGAAGGTGCCTTTCTTGGTGCCGTATTTCATCTCCATAGTGAATGATGATCTCTTTAGGCAGAATTACACGGGGAGCTTTCAAGAGTAAACAAGGGGACTTTGCTCAACTGGCAAATTTGCCAGGTCTCTTATTTCTAAAAGCAGCTAAACACACAGTTATAGTACATCTTACATGTTTTTATTTGTATACAAAATGTTATAATTTATCAATATTGTGCAGCAAAGTATAGACATACACAAACATACATACACACATACATACGCCATCCCCACCCCACCCCCCCCGATGCACACACACACAGAAATACAGCACAAACACAACTTTCTCTCTCTCTGCACTTCAGAAAGGCAACACTGTTTTGGCAGGTCAGCAGCTAGAAATAAGGTGCTAAAATTAAGCATTATTGGAATGTCTTCACTTTATAAATGTGATGTGTAAATTTATATACAATCACATTTTTTTTTCCCATGGAACCCAAAACTGCATACCCCGAACCACTCTCGAGAGATACACACATGTATAAAGTGCTAATACTCAAGCATTTTTCCAACGACTTCACGACGTAGTTTGAAGTTTAGAACAGGCACTGTAATAGTTCACTGGATAGATGGTCACTCGGTGCGGTACGACAGAGAGAAAAGTCACTCAGACATCGCTGGGGGACCGGGAGCGAAAGGACACTTTAGCCCGAAAGCAGCCGCAGAAGAGCACCCACATGGACCTCTGGATTTCCTGGTTTCTGTAGGCATAAATGATGGGGTTGATCATGGAGTTGTAGGTGGCAGGTAGAAGCGTGGCGTACGTGTACACGGAAGGGTAGTGGGGATCCCCCACTACACAGTAGATGGCGAAAGGCAGCCAGCTGGCTCCGAAAGTCCCGAGGATTATAGCGAGGGTAGAGACTCCTTTTTTGGTGGCGACGTAGTGTGAAGCAGTCAGAAAGTGCTGCTGGAGAGCTATCTGGTGGGCATGCCTGCAGATGATCTTGCAGATCTCGATGTAGAGATGGAGCATGATGAGGAAAATGAGAAAGAAAGAGGCGGACAGCAGCGTCACGTTGCTCTTGGTCAAAGGTCTGACGACACTGCAGGCAGCACGGTCATGGAGGCAGTTCCAGCCCAGGATGGGCAGCAGCCCCAGGCAGAGGGAGACCCCCCAGGCGCCCGCCAGCATGGTGTGGATGCAGAGCACCGTCCTCTCGGAGTAGTAGGTGAGGGCGTTGTAGAGGGAGAGGTAGCGATCGACCGTGATGGCCAGCAAGCTACTCACGGAGGCAGCGAAGGAGGCGACGAGGAAGCCCACTGTCAGCAGGCTGACTGTCTCGGAGCGGATCACGTACTGGAAAACGAAGTTGAGGATGAGGCCGAGCCCGGCCAGGAGGTCAGCCGTGGCCAGGCTGCCCACCAGCACGAACATGGGGGTGCGCAGGGCGGGCGAGTAGCAGATGATGGCCACCACCAAGGCGTTCTCGCAGGCGATGGCGGTGCCGGAGACGCAGAGCATCACGTCCCAGGGGTTGAGGGCGGCGGGCGCGGGGGGCCGCGACGACAGCTCCAGCGAGGCGCTCTCGTTGCCGCCGCCGCCGCCGCCGCCGCCGCCGCCGCCGCCGCCGCCCGGCAGCCGCGGGGCGGCCGCTCCGCTCCCGTTCAGGGCTGCCGCTGCCTCCATGGCCGCCCGGGCTGCGCGGGGGCAGAGCCGGGGCTCGGGGGCTCTGGCGCCCGAGGGTTGCAGGGCGGCGGGACTCGGGGGCTCGGCGGCTCGGCGGCGGCGGGCCGCGCATGCCGGACGGCGGGGCCGCGCCCGCCCTGTCTGTGGTGCTGAACGCGCAGAAGTTTCCCGCCGGCCCGGCCGCACCCCCCCGCGCCCCGCCCACCCCCACTCCCCGCCCCGCCGCCCGCTGAGGAGCGGGGAGTGCTGACGGGGTTGCTGAGGGGGTGCTGGGGCGGGGGGTGCTGGGGCGGGGAGCCCCGGCGGGGACGCGGGGCTGCTCCGCTGCGCTGAGGCAGGAGGGCGCTCACCGCCCCCCCCCCCCCCCCCCCCAGGCACACAGCCCTGGCCCGCCTCTGGGCGCCGGGGCACGGCCGGGGCGCAGCGCGGCCCCGCAGCCGCGGGGTTTGCGCGGGAGCGGAGGCGGAGGGAGAGGAGGTGGCTTGAGGGTGTTCTTTGCTGGGGGGGGGGGGGTGGGGGGGGTGGGGACACAACAGAGCTCTTTCAGCCCCGCTCGCCGCTCCCGCCGCTGCCGGTCTCCGCTTTGCATTAGGTCTCCCCGCTCTGGATGCCGCCCGCGGGGTGTCCGTGGGGAGCAGGCGGGAGGTCCTGTGCCCGTACGGCGCCGGCTGTAATGGCGCTGAGTCCGGCGCGGGTGCCTGAGACACCACCGGGTGTGAATGTTTCCGAAAAGCGCTCCACGTTGCTGGAAAAACGCCTGCTTCACACTTACCCTTTCCGAGCAACATACACTCCCGGGTTAACAATCTGTTTACCAGGGAAAGCATCCGTGCCTTTTCCTGAGGTCCCCCAAAATGCGAGGGTCAAACCTGAGGAGACCCGTTTGCATGGGCATAAAAAAATACCAGCTCCCTCCTTCTCTCACCCTCTGTGTCTAGCGCAATGGCCCAGCAGCAGATGTGTTTCCCCTCTAAAGCACATGAGTTGGTGAAGCAGAGGGTAACCATCCGGGCCAATAACTACCAAACCCAATATCACCCAAACGTGGGCAGCAGGTAGTTTCCATTTGCATCTTTTACTAGGACTTGAGTGGGGAACAAGCCAGAGGGGGGGGTTGTTTTTGGGGGGGGGGTGGGGGGGTGCGTGTGTGTCCCAGTGTGGGAGAGCATGTTTGTTCTGTAACTGCTGTTCAGCGTGGAAATAAAATGACCTCTTGGTTATGGGAACAGCACGCAAACCATTCAGACACAATTTTGAAAAATTCATCAGAAGAAAATGCAGTGTTGCTGAAGTGTCTTGGACAGTCCAAAGGAAGAAGGCATGTGGGCCATGCCATGGTAAAAGGTGGACACATTCAAAGGGAAAAGGGAATTAGGGTGTCAGTGTCCTGTGCATCCACGTCCTGCAGGCTAAACACCACTCCCAAGCCAAGCTGTGGATCCTGTGCATCTCTGCAAACAGCCAAAGCCATTGCTTCCCAGGATGTCCAAAATACGATTCTTAGAATCACTGCATTTGGAAGGGACCCGTGGAGCTCAGGTCCGGGGCATCTCTCTGGTCCCACGACCTGCACAGAGCAGGGACAGCATCAGCTGTGCCAGGGTTTTCCTCAGGGTCTCACTCAGCCAAGTCTGAGTGTCTCCAAGGAAGGAGATGGTACAGCCTCTCTGGGCAACCTCTGCCTGTACTTTGCCCTCAACTGTAAAGATTTTCCTCTTTTATCTAGTTGGACTTTCTTTCAGTGCAACTTGTGTCCGCAGCCCCTTGTCCTGCGTGGTGTCCCACTGCCTGTATATTCTCTCATGCCTACCCAGGCGTTACAACAGGATTTGTAACTGCAGCAAAACTGGTTCCAAGAAGGTTTAAGAAGGGTTTGCAAGTCTACATGGCTCAAGCACTTGATCATGTACCCCCGCTATAGTTCAGAAAAAGCTGCGTTGCCTTATTCCCCTCTGTCAAGTAGAGAACGGGCTGGGTACAGTCAACATTAGCTTGGATTAAGATTAAGACTGAGGCCACAAGAATTCCAGTGCAGAAATGGATGCTGCAGTGCAAGGCAAAAGAAGGTAAGGTAGATCAAAGGTAAAGTAAAATTTTGGACTTGTGCAGAGGAAATCCTCCAATCTAGCCCCCAAACAGAGGTGGCTTATTTAACATTAATTAAAATGGCTGCTACAGGATAAACTATTCCAAACATTTTTCAAAATGGGTTAAAAATGGTGCCATTCAAATTTCGCAAGTCAGGTTTACAAACATGAACCAGTTGGGCTCCACAATGAAACTGTAAGATCTGCAGTATTTTTGTGGTGTCTAGAAACATGTAATGCATCTGCTTTTCAGTAATGAAATGTGGTGTGGAAGGTCTTGGTTGTGGGTGATTTGTCACATCTTTGACCAACCTATTACCTCTGGGAAACAAGTATGTGGCAGGTCTTTTCTATAATAACATCTATATTGTGAGGCAGTGTATTCTTTATGTATTTTGGAAATACATCATTTTAAACCTCTAAGTTCTTGAATACTTTTCCTTAACTGAAACCATTGAGAGCCCATGCTATCAAGGCAGAAGGCATTTCACGTGTGGTGAAACCTTGTGAGAGCATTAGGATTGCAGAGTAAGATGTAGGAAGAGATTTTAACATATGAGCCAGTCCAGTCTCACACCCCTTGCCTGTTGTCACGTATTTTACTCAATGGAGGAATTGCTCGAGTATCATAGTGTGTCTCCGAAAGGGAGACGCCTGTGTCCAGATCGACTTCGCTCCTTGTTGTTCAGGTGTTTTCTGAGTTCTCCCAGCTCTTTAGTCCCTGCATTTCTCCAGATTTTCACCCTTTCAAGAGGAGGATGCTCGTACAGCCCATGTCAGGTTCTTACCGAGCTCAGTGAGCAGCTCTGTACATCTCCCTCATCTCCCTCACGTTACCAAGTATCAGTTGGCAGGGTTAGTGACCATCTCCGTGCTTATTAAAATGGTTTCACCTCCCTGGGAATTGTTTCTATTTCCAGAGCTAACATTAAAGGCCTTTTGTTTTCTTAGTATATCTTCTTGCATCAGTCATTCCAACAAAAGGTGAGCCATCTAGATTGCTCTTAGTTTTAACTGGTTGTGGGAAAAAGAGGATCCAAAGAATAGATAAAGCTGGCATCCAACAGCCACACTCATTTACCACAACACCATAAGGAGCAGCAGAGAGAGAAGTCTGGACTGACCTCCTGCGCTGTCGTCAAGATGTTTTTATCTAGGCTTCCTAGCTGAGGCTGGATGTGCAGATCTCATGGGAGAATATAAAAATAAAAAGCTGTGTTTCAGCGATGCATACCTAAGCACAGCATATGATATAACTCAGTAATTATCTCAGCGACTTTCTGAGAATTAAGCAGCAACAAAATTAAAAAGTTGCTGAAATAAACAATCTAAAAACACCCTGCTTGACTTCCCCATCTGTTCTGAGAGCTGAGCAGTATTGCGGTGTAATTTTAATATGTGATTACTTAATTTTGGTTAACTATGGATTATTTTGATAGTCTGTATTCTTTAATGATTAATAAGTAGGCTGAGTAAATGTTAAGTATTATTAAATGTGCTTTACATAGCGTGAGTTGGAACCAAAAAAGAAAAAAAGCACTTCAAAATTTATCTTTCCAATAACATGCTGAAAATATTGAAGAGTTCTTTTTTCTTCTGGCAACTTAAAGAAGCCTTAAAATAAAGGCAGGAGGAGGGGAAGAGAGAGCGGGATAACACAGATGGTGAGCTAACCAGTGCTGACATTTCAGAGATTTCTATGCAGCTGGCATAAAAAGATGTTTTAAACACTTAGCAATCCATTTAGGCACCTCTTCAAGTTTATCATTTTCCTGACTTGGTGAACTCAGCCTCGTCACCTGGTGTCACTGTGACTAGGTCCTTGTTAATGTTACACCCTGGATGATCCTTCAGATTCAGACAGGCATCCACCTGCAAACATGTTGTATTGCAAAACCTACTGATGACATAAACCTAAGAGGGGTTCAGGCACCATTTATAATTTCAGTCCCATCCTACACAGTCCCATTTCTCTGCCACACATTGTGTTTCCCACGTGGTCTTTGACTGCACTTCTTGTTGGAGCACTCACTGTGCCATCAGTCCCCTTTGATGAGTCTTCAGCTGCTTGGCTGCTCTGTCCCTCACGCAGATACAGTCCCAAAAGCAACCTGCATGTATCTAAAATCTATTTTACTTGCACAGTAAGGCTATATGGGACTGCATAAACACATGAACACAACTATCACATTTTTTCTAGCGTGTGCTTGGGGTGAAAATCCTGGTTTACTCTGTTGCGTTCACAAAGCTGAATTTGTCCAATGGATTTTATGGGTGCTTTGGAAGGCGGTACTGTGTCTTATGTGGTCTCTGAATCACTAGCAGAAAGTACAGGGACAGACTTCACAGAAGCAGGTGAAAATCTGCTTTAAGTAGCACAACAAATACTTATCATCAGGGATGAATTCAGACCAAACCACTGGTTGAAACCCACAGAATTTGAGCCATCATGCATTTCTTTTTCAGTGAGAAGAAAATGTAAATGCAGGGAAGTACAGAAAAGTAGACCGAAGCATAGCAAAGACTATTTTGAGCTTTCACTTCTGGCTTCCTCAGGACTTTCCAATAATTTAAAGTGAGAGTCTTCCCCCACCCCTTTGCCTTTGTGGAATGGGATTCCCACCCAGCCTCCCCTCTCCCTGCCCCATCCCACAGTTTCGGCAGCTGCCAATTCTGCCCATGGCTGACAGTGGCACGGTCCCAGGGTATGAGCCGATCTCTTCCTCCAGCTCCCACTTCAGATGGGATGAATTTTTATGCAGCTTTGACCTCTTAAGTTTAGTCAGGCAGGGACTCTCTCCCCTG